TACTGTTTCATGCAACTCTCTTTAATCAGTCAAGCCCCCACTCTCTCTCTCTCTCTCTCTCTCTCCTCTTTCCAATAATTTCAAATAAAAATTTAAACTTTATTAATTCAAGATTCGATTAATCCCATATTATTATTATTATTATTATTATTTATAGCGTGCAAATTTAGACCGGATAACCTGTTTTAATAGGAAAATCGGATGCCATAGGATGATTGACACGTGGATAGTTTAAATAAAAATATAACTAGGATTCTTATAATTGGAAAAAAAAAAAACTCAGCATAACCCGTAATACCTATAACCCTAATTATAATTAGCATAATTTATTAAGAGTTAAGACTTAGGAATATCACATGTCAAAAAATTAATGGAATCCAATTTATATTAAATATCGGCTGATCCGCTCATAATTTAATCTCTTATTCATATTACCTTTAAATTATTTTTCAAAATGTCTACCTGTCTCTGTGTGTGCAGTGGTGTGTCTGTGTGTGTGTTTCAATTTCTTGTCTCCAGACAATTCTTCTTCTTCTTTGCATTTCTAAGATACTAAAATATTTAAATTAGATTCAGTTAATTAATTAGGTGGGGCTGCTCACCTTCTTTTTTTGTCAGCATTATTTACACCATCTCACCCTGACAAAAAGAACCCTCTCTAACCTCACAATAAATAAAATAAATAAATAAATAACAATTAAACCACAATACATATAAAAGGTGGAATTCAGATCAAAGCATCACAAAAATCTTGTTGTTTATCATTTCTTTTCTTTTTTTCTTTAATTATTATTTTTCAATTTTCACACACACACACAGACACACATTCCTCAGGCCAGACAAAAGCAAACCTCCTCACCCTTTAATTTATTCCTTGCTTTAATCCCTTTTTCTTTTTTTATTTTATTTCTTGAGAGAGAAAAAAAAAAAAAGAAAAAAATGAAAACAATCATGGCTAGAAACCCTCACGACTCATTCTCATTCTCCAGAAGATACTTCCACTGGAAAAACAAATTCCTCGACGAACAAGACGATGATGACGTCATCATGCACGAAATCCTAACCTTCACCACCGGCATCACCTCTTCCTCCTCCTCCTCCTCCTCCGACGACAAAAAAACCGCCAAATCAGAAGACCCGGTAACTAATAATTTCCCGCCAACAATGCTGCAGCACTCACTCTCCGTCGGCGGTGGGGGGCAAGCGAAGCCGCCGGCGAGGAAGAAGCTCTCGGTAATCGCGCTCTCCAGGCAGCTGCGTTCGGCCCTCGCGCTGGGCCGGGCCCGAACACGAGGCCCGTCTCCGCACCTGGGGTCGAAGGTGGTGGGCACGCTCTTCGGGCACAGGCGGGGCCACGTGCGGTTCGCGTTCCAGGAGGATTTCAAGGCGGCGCCGGCTTTTCTGGTGGAGCTGGCGACTCCGACGAGTGTCCTGGTGAAGGAGATGGCTTCGGGCCTGGTGAGGATTGCTCTGGAGTGCGACAAGATCAATAAGATTGAGAAGAAGGGTAGTTTGGTGGTGGCGGCGACCAGGATCCTCGACGAGCCCGTTTGGCGGACTTACTGCAACGGGAAGAAATGCGGGTACGCGCTGAGGAGGGAGTGCGGGCCCGATGAGTGGAAGGTTTTGAACGCCGTCGGCCCGATTTCAATGGGGGCCGGGGTGCTTCCAGGGTCGGAGCCTGATGGGGAGATGATGTATATGCGGGCTAAGTTCGAACGGGGTCGTCGGGGTCTAAAGATTCGGAGGCTTTCTACATGATGAACCCGGATGGTAATTGGAGGCCCGG